TTTGTTTGTCTTTTTAATTATTTTCTAGTTTACAAATAAATGTTTTATCGTCATCCACTCTATCGTTATTATAGTTATTTGATTAATAATACTTTTATTAGTATTCAAAAGGCATCATGTGTCCCATGCGAGAAAAATCAGGAATAATGTAAATAGCACATATCTATGCATCTTTGAAATCATTTTTTTTTAAGTTAATGAATGGCAAAAGAAAATTAAACCTCCTTCGTTCGGTTTAAAATTTTTAAACTGTACGCAAATAGATTATAATATTAAAATTCATATCAAACCGTTCCGTCATCAACTTTACATAGCAATATTTATTATCTGATTGAATAAAAAAAAGTATAGTCGATCCGGTAGCGGATATTTTGTTGTCGTCTTTGATTGTTATGAGACACAATAATCGAAAATATTTATAGACAAACGATTGTGTTAATTTAGATTTATTGTTCGCATTTACAAATCCAGCCAGATTTGCAAATATTTTTAGAATAATCGTAAAATCGGGCTTTTACTATTTTACTTATTATATATATTAAACACAAAATTAAGTACGAAAATAAGATTGATTAATAATCTATTTTTAGTATTATTTTATTTTTAAAAATAAAAATACAAGTGCAAATCAAAAGTTAAAATTTTGATCACAATTATTTTGGATTTTATTTAAGCTTGAGTCATGTTTTAATTGACACTGTACTATGTATAACATGTAATCTGTATAATTAATATATAGTATTAAAAAGAATATTTTTGCTAAATACGGAAGCTAGATAGAAAATCAGTTTTGAAAGATAAGAAGCAGCACTTGAAAATCATTGTATTAATTAATATTCATTCATTGAGCATTTAGTTTAAATAGAAATGAATTTACTATTTGAAAAAAAAACCCATTTGATTTACCAAATATGTTTGACTTTTTTTTGCCGAGAACTAATTAAACAAAAAGATCGCTCAAACAAATAAATGATTAGTAATGTTAAAGATATTAAGAGATGGTGATGATAATAATGATTATAATAACTAGATAAAAGAAAACTTACAAAGTTCAACCAAAGCACCCATGCGCTTGATTTGAGCTGATTTGGTGGAATGAAGTTGCAAAGACGTCCCTTTTATCACATGAACAAACATGTTCCAATTGTCATGTTTTAAAATTCACAAGAAATCAAATAAATAGATATGTTGTGTGCAATAAATCATCAGTTTTATTGATTGATTGATTGTTATTTTAAAAAACAAATTACTATTTATTAACATTGTTATAATTGTTAACACGGATGATTAATATAATAATAAAGTTCAAGTTTCCAAAAAAAAATTTTATTTAGATAATAATAACCATTATTAAATATTTACAAGAAAATAAAATGCAGCCAATGTTAGAATAATAATTAGATATTGGTGAGCCTCTCACACTCAATTAAACGGAAGTATAGTTTATCCGTACAGAGCAAGTTGTTATTATTTACATATGCCTAATTCAGCCTATCAAATAGCCAAGCTTTTGGTGATAATTCCTGTGAAACTTTCTTTGTTGATGTAAATCTTTTCTCTAAATAAAAAATAAACTTGTGAAATTTTATTATTATTATTTAATTTAATGGACACATAGAATATATTTAAGCATTCGAATCATCTACGATTGTGATTCTTCTCGTGTAAAGAATTTGGAAGGTGGAAGAATCAATGCACCATATTCAGATGAACGAGCCTCAATTATTTTGATATTCAAGTATTATTCTAATACATGCATGTATATACAGTGGTAAAAATAGCTCATTTGATTGATTAAAAAAGCAGGATTTAATATGCTTTAATATAACACATTCACCATTGCTTTTAATTACGTGCTGACATTTTGATTTTTTGGTCAAATTAAAATAAATCAGGAATTAGTCCCACTTTTTAATGATAAATTTTCCCAAGTCTTGAAGCTTTTAACCTCTGTGATAATTTGGATGCTAAAGTTTTTAAAAACTTGTTGAATATCATATGATTTCAGCAGTGATCCCATTTCCTCAAATCATTAACTCGCTCTATAAGCCATATCATCCATCATCTGTTCCCTTTAACTTATTAGTATGAAATAAAATTTGAGAATGAGATCTTGTAATTTGTGTAATTTGTGGGATGAATGTATTCTCTTTTAATGTAATTACAAAAAACCAACAATACTCAACTCTATTATACATTTTAAAAGCAAATTACCCAAAATTAATTATCAGATTTGATTAGACAGGTAGTAGTAGTGGTGATAAAGGTTTTTGCGAATCCAACTTTTTTTGTTACTGTTACACATTGTATATAGTGACATCACATGCATGTATATATTTATATACAAATCTAATCTAACTATATAGTTAAAATGTAATGTTTTTGTCTGAATGCCTGGGAAATTTAAAAAATCAGGAAGAAACTTGCAAGTATAAAATTATACATCAAACAGGTAATTTTAACTTTTATGAATTACTAATTAGGAAGTTTGGAATCTATTATTAATAGTGATTACTATTTTAGATATTGACATGTATCAATTATCCTTTACTGGAAACGACTTTCATATAATGGATATGACGTGATATACATAGATGGTATTATTGCCATCGTCAAAGAAAAAATATGGCGATGAAATATCTATATCATCAAATGACGATTTTAGTGTTAGCATCTGCAAGCTTGATTTGATATTAATTGTTTGTAAAGATACATCTTAACTTCAAATGTTAACCGATCACATTGGACAAATGTAAAATTTATCTTACTATTAGTGAATGAACTTATTTAATAAGTATTACTGATTATTTTAAAAAAGATTTTATTGATTTTATTGTTAGACACTTCTATTTAGAATTCTTCATAACAATAACTCTAGAAGTAATTCTTTGGTAACGACATACAGTATAATTTTGTATAATTTGAATGATTATAAAAAAAAAATAAAAATAAACAAACATTTGATCACAGATTATTACAAATATAGTAACTTACTATGAAATCAAAAATTAACAAAAAAAAAATTATTTATGCATTAAAATTGAAAATTTATAACCTTAATTGTGTTTGTTACATATGATAACTTAAGTTTAATAAATTGAGTTTTCAAATATCAAAAATTGATGGATTCTTAAAAAAAAAATAGCGGTTACTTTATTTAATATATTTAGTATTGTGTTGTGTGCGTGCGTACGTGCATACGTGCAGTGTGTAATTACGATAGTGTGTATTATATGACGTGATATATATGTTTAGAGATTGGGAAGAAGAATTTGTATGTGAAAGTGATATTTGTGGGTGGTGTGGACCTTTCAATGTGATGTTTGGTAGATTACACGACTGCGATTATATGGATTATATTAATTAGGCTAATTTTTTTGACAAATGAATAGATACTTATTAAATTAAATTTGATTGGATTAATTGGACGAAAGAATTTTTGAAGTCGTACAAAAGATTTCTAACTAATTAGTGTAATTAGTGGGTATACTTCCTTATTTTTTAATAGTGGGAAATTAAATATCAGACATTTCTTATTGTGTGAATGGATTTCTTTATTTGAAAAATTTCCGAATTGATTGTCATCTAAGTAATTAACCGATTCCACTCCATTTGGTTAATTTTTTCAACAAAGAATTTTTTTCTCTTGCTGAAAGTGAGATGGTTTTTTTTAGGAAAAGTTAATCTAATTGTGTATTTTTACAAAGTAAAAAAAAAAGCCCATATATAATTAACAATTATGGTGATGAGTTTACAATTTTAATATAAAGCATAAACGGGAATATTCTAAAGAAGGTTATTTTTTTCCTTTCGTTTCATGAAAATAATAATTTACACAATAAATAATAACACAATATTATTTATCGATTAAATTGTATATTTATATATTATATAATAATAAGTGTTAATTGGATGCTGACTGATATGACTTGATAAAGTTGCAATAAAAAAGAACAAAGTTAAAAGTAAAATACTAAAGTTAAATAAATAGCAAAGCGTTACTAGCATTAACTTCAGAACTAATATTAGACCAGGATATTATTGATTAATTCAGTAAACAATCTTATTGTATTTACTTTTTGAGATACTTGTTATAAAAATATAGAATATAAACATGCAAGAAACGAAATTTGAACACGAATGTTAAATGAATATAAATAAACATGTAAAAAAGTAAATAATATAATATAAAAAATTTTTCATTTAGTGAAATTCATTTTGTAAAAAATTCATTTATTTGTTCAACGAATTAATTTCTTTTCTAATTTTAGAAGCTACAAGTTTACACATTTCAACTATTTATAAAACAATTATATTTATCTTTCTTATCTTAAATAATATATAATATACACGGATAAATATAAAGATTCTCCCTCCTATATGGCTTAGAATATCCTTAATGTTTGAAATATAAATATAGTAAAAATATTTTTTTTTCAAAAAATAAAAAATAAAAAAAAAAAATTTTTTTTGTCCATTTAACGTTCGTCATTATAAAAAAAAATCTTATGATATAAAAAAATTAAATTGTATAATATATATTATTATATTAATTATATTAAATAGTCAATCAAATTTTTATTTTTTTTTTTATTTTTTTTTTGCTGCTTTTATAAAAAAAGAGTTCTCTGGTTAATTGATAAGTAGCAACAATAATATTAAATAATGTTTTCAAAAAAACAACGATCAATGAAAAGACCTTATATAATTGGTGTAAATCACAAGCACACTGGAAATGTATTAATTAGACATAGATTAATTCAACATCTTCAAATCCTAGTATTGGTGTTAATATTTCTGATACTACTCATGAAATTATGGGTTTTAATGTTGCCGGATTGGGAGCCTTGGATTATCGCTGGTATTTATCATTTATCTTTTTGTTTGTTTGGTTTTTTTGTTGTTGTTGTTTTGTTTGTTCATCCTTGCTCATTCTCACGCTCTCATTCTCTTTTAATCGTTCTTTAGACTCATCATGTGATATATGCACAAAAGAAAATATGCACAGACCAATTCCACCATTACCACTAAAGGTTATAAAAATGCTTAAAAACAACGAAACGATAATTAGTCACGAAGAAGATCAAGATGCATTAGATGAAAATAATTACGAACAATTTCAACAATATATCGATCCTGACGATAATCTTGACGAAACCTATAATAATGAAGAGAGTGCTACTACCATCAATAGCAGTGATAATTTTTATATTCCCCCTTTCAAACACGATCTCGTTAGCAATACCGAAAATGACGATTATGATTTTACTATAGCGACTGGTGCAAGCGAAAACCACTTTTGTCCGATGAAGAGTTTCTTGTATAAAATGAATGATGAATTAGCCGAATACCGTATTCGTATGATCGTTTACGATTTGGGATTTTCCGAGAAACAAGTTAAAGAATTGAACCAGTTAAAGGAAAGGGGTTTCTTGACAGAATTAAGAAAATTCAATTATGCATACTATCCAAGTTTCTTTAACATCACCATATCAAGAGGTGAATATGCTTGGAAGCCTGCAATAGTAGCCGAAATTTCACGTGACTACCCTGGATTGATTTTAACTTGGTTGGATAGTGGTACTTTTGTCAATAAATCATACTTTAGACGTTTAAAAAGCGAATTAAAACTTAATAAAGGTTTCTTATCACCAAGATCTTCCGGTAACATGAGAACTTGGACTCATCCCGGTGTCTACAAATATTACAACGAATTGAACCAATACAAATACAACAGAGTAACAAATTGTAATGGAGCATCAATGTCATTTGATACGCGTAAAGCACAAAAATTAATTGATGGCTGGTACAGATGTGCTCTGGTCAAAGATTGTATAGCGCCAGAAGGTAGTAGTCGTATAAATCATCGTCAAGATCAGGCAATCATCACTTACTTGGCAGCAAAAGAGAAAAAGTTTTGTAAGAATAAAAAAAGTGATCTTGGTATTACGAGTCATCAAGACAGATTTTGTAAGAAATTTATTATAAATTTTGAAAGAAGCAACAATTTATGATAACAATAGAATTTAAATTAAAAACTTGATTTTTGGACAATTTTTTATTTTTAATTTTCTGTAAATAGATATTAATATATTAATATTAAATATATTTTTTTAATAATATTCTAATAAGGGGGTTTTTTATTAATTTTAATATTGTGGTATACATAATAATAATTTTTTAAAACTCAATAAAATAACAAATATGATAATAATAATAATGTGATAATATTGTGGCTGTGACTTTTCTTTAAAAAACATTTCCCCCAAAATAAAATTTCTCTCCTTGAATATATAAATAGTTGCTGCGCACGCAACTTTTGATTGTTTGATAATAATATCAAATGGTGTAAAAGACTTGCTCAAGCCCCCGAACCTGTTTCTAGTTTGTCGTATGAGAACTATCTTTACAAATCAGTAAATGACAAAGCATGTATCTGTCATGCATAACATTGCTAACGTTGAGATCAAAAAAAAAAATTTTGTCGAATGATAATTCATGTTTCATTATATATAAGATCTACCACATAATTATTAATATTAATATATTAGTCGTTTATCGACATTAATATAGGTAGGTAGTTGCTGTTCTAATAAGATTTTATTATTATATGGGCATTACATCACATAAAAGAATAAGGGTTAGTGATAACTTTAATGGTTTTATTAGCATCACATTTCAATAATAATTCCTTTTTGGGAAAATAATAGTAGCCGTGCCACGACGCTAATTTTTGAGAAACTAGTCTTGGAAGAATTAAAGGATCTACACAGCCAGTAAGATAAAAAGTTGTGACAAATCATTTCGCCCTGCGTAATAAATCTGTAATAATTTGAACTTAAAAAAGTATTTTTAATCTTAATTAGAAATTTAAAGTCAAATCAATTAATTATCTTGGTTTGGTTTGGAAAACTACTTTCGATAATAAACTTTAATTACATTAAGTTCAAACCAAGAATCGTTTTTTCATCGAGTTTGCGTATATGCACACTACTCATTCAACTTGAGAATTAAAAAGATTAATTTGCATCTTCAAGTAGATAGAATAATATGGGGGCAAGTTCGATTAAAACCATTTTGCTAATTTACAATGACGTCCATACCACCAAGAATGATTTTGATCTTGAGAAATTCTTATAACCAAATTACAAATGTAAATTCGATAAGTCGGCCAAAATTTTCTTAATAATAATAACTCATGTTTTAAAACTAAGCGATGATTTTTTTTTTGGTTTACTAAAAAGTTTTACTATTAATACTCGCATTGGTTTTGGGGTCCGAATATTTTCCTCTCACTGCAAGTATTCTGTCAATTTTTTATCTTTTATTGAATTGTTATCTTCACAAATAAATCCCATATATTTTAGTAACTCATTTACTATTGGTCGAGTTATAATTAATTGTTAAAAAATAAACTATCGAAGAAATTAAAGAACAATTAAAAAAAGTCGAAGAGAAGTTGAAGTTTGAAAAGATTGAGAAGTGGGAAAAGAAGAAGAGGTTGGAGGATCAAGGAGAAAGATTAATCGAAGAAGAAGTGGAGGAGAATAGAAACGATTAGAAAAAATATACAAAAATTATTTTCACTTATTCCATTTTGTTTATTTGAGAGACATTTGGTATACTGCTTGCAACTTGTGCTTTTCTTTATGCTTTTTCTTCATAACCTATATCATTTTTAAGGAAGAGAGGTTTAGGAATAAAGAGTTATACAAGGATCCAAATTTATCTTCAATGTCATTTTATTTCTTCAATTGTTGATACTACTAAATGGCATTTTTATTATAGTTCTGGATCGGGCTTTCCAACTTGATTACAAAAGATGATGCTAAGCCTCTATCTGTTCTAGAGAATCAAATAAACATAGTTGCAAATTCTTCAGAAAGGTATTGTAACTACTTGCCAATTGTACAATCATCAACATATGGGAAAACGAGGCCTGTGTGTCAGTTAACTTGTAAAAAACTTCCTTTACTATATGTATGCTTTCGTAAAATAAGTTCAAGTGTATGGAACTATAATGAGCTTTGACTGTGGTATATGTTACACGTATAGATTTATCAAATATGATATGGAACAAAAGCACTTCGTGTCTAGACATTGATCTCCACGTTTTAACAAAGTTAGTTCTACTGGTGTCTAATATACAAGATTTTGTTTGTAAAAACTTATCGACCAACCCTTCCATAATCACCACATGAAAGCTTACCCATCTGTCAAGTCCTTTATAGTGATATTTTCATCTTGAAGAAAAAAGTAACACCGTCCTCCATCTTTGAATATCTTTTCTTAAAAAATCAATGAAAAAATTCGGGATTTTGTAAAAACTAAAGCAAAACACTTTTTTTCACTTATTTCGTAACACGTGACTTAAGTAGTGAATTTTGCCGATCATTGTTTAATTGCCATTATTTTTATTTTGTATCTTATTCGCATTGGCATGAAAACATCAGTTATTCCTAATGAGACACAATTTTTTATTACTGTTGTTCAAAGTTGTGAAGGATCGTTATGCAAAGCTGGATATACTGTACATATGAGTTGTGTTAAATTGGTATTTTTCGAAATTTTGACTGAAATTATCTACGCGTAATAGTAATACGCAATAATATTAGTAATATGTTTGAGCTGCCAGAGTTTGAAGCAACATAACTTAATCAATATTGGTACTTGGAACGACCTTTACATAGCACATAAGACAGGTTTTGGTACATATTTTGTATTTGTTTTCTATTTTTATCATTTTAAATCTTCAAAGAATGCTGAAATTCTTTTATTGTTGAATCACGATAAATCGATCACTAAAGTTTGGTAACAATGAAGTTGTTCTTTAGATAATGCAATTTTCGCTTTTCAATTTACTTCCTTATCAAAGCAATCAAATAAACTATAAAAAATGCTTTACAAAGAATTGTTTGTTACGCACCACCAGTTCTCTGCAAAGAAACAAAAACGTGCGATGATATTTTTTGGTGTCACAGTATTATAAAATCACATGGCTCGATTACATATTTATATTCGTTTTGGAGTATCAAAAATTAGCACTGGATGCGAAGTATCTTAGCATCCCATCATGTATTCATGATCAATAATGCAATCTTAATAAAAATAGACTATTTCATGACCAGATGGTGCATTGATCGAGTAGTCTAATAAATCACAACAAAAACGTATAAATAGACCCGCTACCCCCATTCGTAGACCAAAAAACGGTGCATTGGTTTTGCTTTTTACGTTGCATTCAAATTCGAGGGTCGAGACACGTAGTGCCGAAATGGCGTTCTATGTATGGTTGCATTCGAATGCGAGATATCTATACATTTGTTCGGAGCATCAATATTAGCTAGTCACTTTATTATTATATCAATAATTTTGTTTTATTGGTTGCGTTGAGCAAAAAATTTATTTGTTTGTTTTTATTTATTTAAAAAAAATTACATACACAAAGGGAGATTGTTCACGAATTTAATAAATTCAATAAAAGATCCTTTGCAAAGAAGAACCTTCATTGGAATCAAAAGTTATTTACGAATTTGATTGTTAAAAACAAATCTTTTGTCCTGATCTTTTCCTCATGTTTATTTATTTATCTCAGATTAAAGATCAATTGGATCGATTAGATTTTTTTTTCAAGTGTATCGCTATAGAAGAATAAACTTCATTCAAACATCAAAGGTTATTTACAAATTTTGATTGTTAAAAAAATCAACTAAGCTTTTTTTTCTTAATTAAAAAAAAAATCCTTTACAAAGATTAAGGAAACTAAAAATAAAATTCAAAAAAATTGACGGATAATAATAACAACAAAATAAAATGTAAAAAGGTGTTTTTGAACACTGGACTCGAAATATACTAACATTAATACGTTGTATGACTATCTGAGATCTGAGGTAAAGGCTCCAAGGCAAGGCCATAAGTTTTTGGTCATTTTGAATGATCCGAAACGTCAGAGCAAGACGAAAACCCAACGATAGACAACGATAGACACTGCAAAAAAAAAAAAAAATCTAAAGCGAAATACGATCTCCTTTCAACTCTGACGTTTTGAAAAAAAATAGATAAATATTTCGGTTGCCAAATAGATAGCAATGGGATACGGCGATGTAAAAATAACCACAACCATTTACTCTTTTCGGGAAAACGAAAAATATTTTTGTTCAAATTTCAAATCAATTCGCAAATTGATCTCATCCTTCCCCAATAATTCAGCTTACTAAAGTCGAGCAACAAAATATTTAGAAGATTTGTGATTCGTTATTACCGTAACTGCATTGAATTTACTGTTTCAAGCCTTAACTAGTCTTTACAATAGAATATTTCTTGTGCAACAAAACATTTAAAATTTGTTAGATTAGAGAAAAAAAATTACACAAATATAAAAAACTACCTTTCTTTCTTTTATGTTATTCTCAAAAAAAATTTCACTCAATTCGTTGAAACACCAAATCAAATTTATATATAATATTTTATATAATGTCATATGTTAAATTATTATCATCATTATCAACAGAAAGAAAGGATTTTGTATATAAAATTTATAGCGAAGCATATAATTCAGTAATTAATTCTGATAGAGAAAGTATAAAAAAATTTTTTTTTTCATTGGTCAAAAAAAACAAGGAACTTTCTGAAAATGAAAAAGAATTTTGTAAAGAAAAGTTTATTTATGATGTTGAATTATATAATGCAAAAAATAAAGAGGGAAAACCAAAAGAATGTGACAAGTGTAAATTGACAAGATACTCTGATATGTTCTGTGAAGGTTGTATTAATTTACAATTACAGAGTCTCTTCACCACTTGGACATCTGGAAATGATGTAATTGATAACTTTATTCAACAATGTCAAATAAAATCATCTCTGCCAAATCATATTTTAGAATGGATACCTTTTGAGCAATTTGAAGATATAACAAAATTAAATGAAGGTGGATTTAGTTCAATTTATACTGCAACATGGACAAGAGGAAGTATTGTTGATTATGATGAAAGTAAAAAGGAGTTTAGTTATGTTGGAAAGCAAAATGTTGTATTAAAAAGTTTAAATAATTCAAGTAATCCAGGAAAAGGCTTTTTTGATGAGGTTGGGTAATTGTCATTTAAAATAAAATAAACAATACTACATTATATAATACTAATTGATTTTATATTTATTTCAGGCAATAAATTATTGTAAAATTAAGTCAAGTTTAATTGTTACTTGCTATGGTATAACTAAATTCCCAGACAATGGAAATTATGCAATAGTTTTAAATTATCATCCAGAAGGAAATTTAAGGGATTATTTACAAAAAAATCATTTAAATTTAACATTAAAAGAGAGAATTATAATCTTTGGATATTTGTGTACTGCATTAGATAATGTGCATGAAAAAGATTTAATCCATTGTGATTTACATAGTGGTAATATACTTGTTCACGGAGGTTGTTGTTATATTACAGATTTAGGATTATGTGGGCCAGTTGATGAAAAATCATCAAATAAAGTCTATGGAATTGCATCATATGTTGCACCCGAGCTACTTAGAGGTGAAAAGAATGCAAAGAATACAAAAGAATCAGATATCTATAGTGTTGGGATGTTAATGTGGGAAATATTTGCAGGCCATCCACCATTTGATGATAGAAGTCATAATCATTGTTTAATTTTTGACATATGTGAAGGTTTACGACCACCAATACTATCTAAGATGCCTGATGATTATGTGCAAATGATGCAGAGGTGTTGGGATGTGGATCCATCAAAAAGACCAACTAGTAGAGAGCTGCGTAGTTTTGCTGATAATAAACTTAATGAAATTCTTGAAAATAAAAGTTTAACAAATAAGAACTTAAAAGATAATAGTTTAATAAAAAGATTATTCAAATTTTCTAAAATCAAAAAACATGAAATTAATTTTAATGATGATAGTAGTAGCAGCAGCAGCAGTGGTAGTAGTGGTAGTAGTGGTACCTCGCAACAAGCACACACATCACACCCAGATTCATATCACACAAGTAGAATATTAGATGAAGAGATTGCTAAATCTAAAAGCTTTAAAAGTTATACAAGTAATGATAGTTCGTTAAATAATCTTGATTTTAACCTTTTTCTCTAGAATTTTAACAAAGGAAACAAAATTTCGTTATTAGTCAATTGGAATTACTATCTATTAATTATTACAAACAACATTAATTAATTAATTAATTAAAGAAAGATGCGATGAATGACTAATTTAATCTCCACTATAAATTTGTTCTTTATCTTTTTATTTTATCTTTATTTTTTTCGAAATGATAAACTTGTAAAATGGTGATATTGCGGGGTATCATTTCGGCTAATTAACAATTATGGTTAACTTTCTTGTCAGTTAATTATAAATAACTCAATGCTTGTCAATTAATTAGTTTACGAATTTAATTTAGTTCCGTCTTTCTTGCACATAGACGAACTTGTGAGCACACCTAATGTACCAGATGGCCCTACTATAAGGTTCCTTGTGATCGATTTATTTCAGTCGTTTACATTATTGGCTGATTGCAAACTCGTCTTGGCTTACTTGAAAAACAAATTAAGTAGATTGTTTAACAGCCTTACATTTATTATTACAATAACATTACCAGTATTTCCTATTAACCTTTGGATGATACTTCATCAACACACCCACTAGTTAACCCAAACCTTTGCTTACTCATTAAAGCAAATTACGTTACTAATCGTTGTCAACACTCATTGGCTAACCAATGTTAACCCTAACATTGCTTACTTGCTTACTAAAGCAAATAAACGTGACTTTTTACCAAAGCTCCACAATTGTTACCTTTTATCAAGGCTTGCTGCTTTTATCAAAGCGTTTTAAACAAAGAAAATAAAGACAATGTTTTTATTTATTAATTTTATTTAATAAAAATAATGATCTATCACAGGGCTTTATTCTATTAGAATGCTAATTATCTATTATTTCCTCTGCGAGGTCCCGAAGTTACACTTTTTCAAGCAAAGATTACTACAATAAGGACAAAGATAAAGATGAGTTTATTATTGCAAAATAACTTAATCAATCAATATTGAAATTATAAAAACTTCCATAATTATAAAAAAAGCTTTTGCGTAAATTAAAATTAGTTGACCCTGGAACATAAAGTACCGAATTCCTAATCGATAATTTATCTACCCAGATAATGTGTCACGTTATAAGAAATGTTCGAGTTTAATAGTAAATGAGTGTGTGAGAACTGAATTTGTATTCAACAAAAGAAAAGCCTGGCTTCTTGGGAATAACTAATGAAACAAAGGAGATTGGGATATACAAGAAAATTATAAAAAAAAAGACCTTGGAATGAGTTTTTTGAGAGCTTTTATAATTTATTAACCTTTAAAGCAATTTTGCTTGCGTCATTTTTGGCTTAATGGCAACGAATTTGACATAATTATAATAATTTTACAACTTTGGGCAACATTTCGTCAAACAACATTAATCCCAAACATCCCACCCAAAATTTTAATTAGATTTCAATTTTACATACAACATCATAAACTCCATTCACCGATAATGTAAAATCGTTTGACGTTGTGCTTCAAGTTCTGCGTTGACCCATGTTTGCAAGGTTTAAAATAAAGAATAAGGATGGTTTCCTTTGTAAACAAACTCATTTATTTATTTATTGTCAAAATCAATTTTACAATTCACGCACAATTTTTTTAACACAATGTATGTCTAAATCTTGATCCTGTTGGAGATATCGATCATCAACCTTTTGTTATGGATATGGTTTATAATTTTATTCAAGATTATCTTTATCGTGCGTCTTTTTTTTACACTGCGTGGACGCGTTTAAATAATATTACAAAACAAACGCACAAATTTGAAACCAGGCAAAATATTCAAATGGTGTGCCATTGGATCGAATAGTATGTATGGGCGTCGACGTTGAAAAATTTAACTTTTAAAGAGTGCAAGTAATAAATATATTTTTCTTTAGATCCATTAGATTTTTAAAATCAATATCAACAACATTTGTCTTCTCGTTTTTAGACATCTGATTAATCAAGACCATCAATAACAGAAAATTACACAAATTTATTAGAACAGAGTAAATCATTAAAAAACAGGATTCGTCAAGCAGAACCAGTTCTTCAACTTGGTGAACTTGAACATGTCAGGGAACAAGGTGGTTGAGTTCTAGGGTAGAATAGCATCTGAGATCACGTCAGATAATGAAATTGTTTCAACAGAGTTGTTAAATGGTGTTTTCAATGATTTGTCAGCTGAACCAATAGCTGCACCACTTTATTGTTTTGTAATTGATGAGAAAGTGGAAGAAATGGATATTAAACTTCAAGAAGTACTCAACACACCATATAGTCGAGCTTTAGAAGCAACTAGAATTACTGAGTGTAGTATTTCTAAGAATATTTTAAATTTGCTTAGTGTAATGTATGAACAAATTTTTCTGGATCATTTTATTATTTTCTGAATGATTTTTAGAATGCATCATTATGTTTTCCAGGCAGAACAATATTAGGCGAGCTGCCGAAAATTCTCAGAAAATTAAATATGTGTGAAGGGAATGTTGCTAGAAACTTCAAAATTTGGATGAGCAAATGTATAAAATCAAACATGGTTTACTTTGGAGAACAGAAAAAATTAAAAATATTTTCAATATGAAAGTACGTCAATATTTTTAAAATAATGGCTCCGTTACGTTATAGATATATGTTCTGCGAGCTCAAGGCATTTTTAAAAATTTCATCCGTATGATGAGAGTTATAGAAGTTTATGTAATAGGCATCTAAAATTTATGGCAAAAATTACATTTGCAATATGAAAGTTAATAGATATTGTGGCACTGTTACGTTTTAGCGAGATGTTCTACATTTTTCATAATTAAAAAATCTCATCGATATGATGAGTTATAACAGTTTACAACAAAAGCGATTTTTTCTTTATTAATAGTAAATTTAAGTTACTATATAGTAAAATGACTACATCTACTAAAAAAAGAATGGAACTTTACAACAAATAAATTTTTTGAGGAACCTCTCTATTACATTAAAGCTATAGACCTACACTATCAACTATTAGGACGAAAGTGACTTTAATATTTACTAAAATTTGTGCAAACTTTAGGATGTTTTTAAACCGAGCCGACCATAACTGATTTTCTTGATTGTAGCACCCCATGGGATGAGACTCATTATTTAATTCTTTATAAACTATAGAAAAAACTAGAACTTCGAATCAATGGTTTCTAACATTGCTCTAATAATACTTGCTCATATAATACCTAGAGCATTACTGTTGTTCTTATTGACGTTACTCTCACCCTCCTTTCACTTCTTGTCCCCTTTTGACTTTTTATTATTTCCTAAATAACAAATCTATTGAAGGTTCGTAAATCTAATAGCATAAAAATTTATTTTCTTTGAATTATATTATTATTGTTAAACCGGAATAACACTTTGATCACCATTTGAAAAATATTCATTCCTTTCTTCTTGTTGAACTATTTCATAATGAAAATGTTTGCCTTGATAAAGTTATCGTTAATATCATCATATGGTATTCATTACGATCGAACATTTCAAAAATCAAAGCCTTGCGGAATAAATAAAGCGCTTCAATCTACATGTTGTATTGATTCAAGCATCTATGAATCATAATATCTTTTAAGGGCGGTTGGTTTTTGCTCGTGTTTGTTTGTTTTTTAATTGATGAACACGTAAAATTAAAGATTCTAAAATATTCCTATATAATAATGCCTAAAGTTAAATCAAACCCGAGATAATCACAGAGCGTTGATTTAATATAACAGTTGCCAATGTTCTTTCTTATATTCAATTGGTATTCTGTAATGTTAAAAGAAGCCTAGCAATGGCATTGAACGAAGGGCGCCTAAAGCGAACACCTTCTAGATACTACTGTATCCTAGAATCTTGCATATGTTTTAAGAAAAGGTGCATGACCCACTACAATAACTTCTATTTTAAGTTTTTTCTTGCACATCAAATTCAATAAAAATAAATGTTGTTTTCTAAAGCAAAATTTCGTCTCCTACTAATACTACCCTTCCCTACTCAAATGTTATTACTATATTAATCGAATTTTAAATTTGATTTTTTTTTAATTTTATAATAATAATGATTTTATAACTAAAAAAAAAAAAAAAAGAGAATTGTGCGTTAAAGAAAAAATAGTTTGATTTTACTTTTTATATAAACATGTTTTTTGATGAGAATGATTGATTATGATAATCAGGATAATAATAATAAAAAATAAATTACCAATCAATCAATTAATTACAGTCTGTAATTAAAAATTTATTTTTTGCACACCAATCTTTCCCAACAATTTTATTATGGTTGACTCCGACAATACAATTTGTAAAATCGTGGATAAATGCTAATAATACTAATACGTAATTACGTACCGTGTATCACAATTGCTATTTGGTATTCGAAAATAACTATGTACCAAAGCGTTAGGTTATATATATATTTCTCGACTGAGCACAGTAAATTATTATATGTTTGTGAACTTTACAAACAAAATAAAAAAATTACATTGTAATTGTCATAAAATAATAAACCAATAAATTATTATCGGATATTTTGAAGTAGATCCGATGATTAATGCTCGTAGAAATAATTGAACTCTGATCAATCATATCATTGTTATTATTCTATTAAATTTTGGTCAACAAAACTATTATTACTGACAATACCCGAGTTTGATTAAATTACCGTCGCCAGAGTTTTCGATTATGTAATAGTAATGTGATTATTTCCTGGCTGTTTTGATGACCGAAACTATTGTCGTAGTAGTAACCGGCAGATTAGCGTAATTATTAGGATCAAAATACTGATTATATATCGATTATTAACCCTTGTATTTGTTTTTTAAAAAGTCTCTGTGTGAGGAAAAGTTGGTCAATAGAAAGGTTGGTTGTATTAGCATAGCTTATATTGTCTAGTCTTTCATCAACAAATCTCAAATATGCAATATCAAAGAATATATGAAGATTTTTAGAATTTAATACTTTATTCGGAAATCAGATGATGATAATGAAATTTCAAGTACATTGAAAAAAACAAAATCAGAATTATATTTTAATATATTGGAAAATGAAAATTATCTTGGCCATAAAAATCCTTATATTATTTAAAATGTTAGAAGCTAATATAAACATTATTAACAATCAAAACGACGGTCGTTAATAGAATCTTTTTTTTATAATTTATGACTTATTTATATCGACCTGTTCTGGCCCAACATCTCTAATCAACATGTACAAACTTTAACATCATCAATTCTTACATTGGCCACATTATATACGATCACTTGTATTTTAAACAGAGGTGATGATCCGCATGGAATTCAGACAGTGAATGAGAACGAGTCAACTTACAAATAAAACTTTGTGCTATCGTTGCCAAAGGTGATAATGTCCAAATATAAAAATTTCTATTGAAAAAAAGTGCCTCCAAGGAAGGAACAATAGAAATAAAATGATGGACCATTAGCACAAGAATTAAAAAAAGAAGATAAAGAGTCCAAAGTTAATGACTTTCTCGTATTTGCTTACTTACCGGAGAGAAATTTAATCTAATAAGAAAACTAATTTGACTTGAGTGAGTTTACTCAACACGATCACACAAAAATCTTTAATGATTCTCGTAATAAAGAACTTGTTAAAACAGGATAATTTTCTATTATTTGTTTTTAAAAAATTGGGCCCTCAAAGAAGTTTTATTGCAGTCTTTGGTCGATTTCTATCCACGAATCAGAACAATTATCTGACCCTTTATTCCCTCTCGTTTAGGTTGAATCAACACTGATACTGCTCAACCAAAAAATTCTTTTGGACAAATACTATTGAGTTTTGGTGCCTTCATTTTTGTTTGGTTATTTATTTTTTTTACTGGTTCTAGAAAATGTAAGCGTGGGATTAATAGTAATTGTGCATTATGATTTTGCTATTGGTGGTATCTGTTTTCATAAAAATTATATAGCAATAGCGTCCTTTCAATAGAATGGGACACAAAACTCCCTAGTTGGATTTGCCCATGTTACTTTAAACCCAATAACGATTATTATTTAATTTCCCAAAAAGAAAAATTTTGTTTATTACGTGCTGAAGATCAAGGTAATTAAATTATTTTGGTTATGATTTACATCTACAAATTTAGAGAACATCCAAATTTGACTGGATAATTTCCAATATGTTCAACATCCGATCAATTTCCGGTAAACTTTTCAAACAAGTTTTAATATTAACGGGAAACCAAATTCGTAATATTAATATAGGTATTACAATTACAATTACTATTTTACTTTATGTTAAAATGCTTAAATCATTTACCAAGTTTTTTTTTATTTATGACAAAATTGAAAAAAAAGCCCATTTATTTAAGTAAAAACATAATTACATTTGTGAATAGACGTAGATTTATATAATAATAAAGAGCTCCTTTCAATATAAAAATAATATAAAAAGAATATTTATTCATTAGGAAAAATTTGGACGTTACACGATTCGAATTTTTTAATATATATAAATAATAATTCTTGATCTGCAATATCCACTAGTATGTCCATTTACTTACTCTCTTGACTTTAATATTAAGCATTTCTTGACAATTTTAAAATATTAATAATTAAATATTATATGGACAAATATCAGGCAAGATTTCAAATTCTATTTAAATTTTTTATTTCATTTATTTGTCTATTGAATTCTTACTTTTCCATTTAACAGAAAATTGAAAAATTAGGAGAAGGTATCTATCTATATGATGGTTCTATACTTAATAATAATAATAAATTATGTTTATTATTATTGTCATTGTTGTTATTATTATATTTCAATTTATCAAATCAAAAATATATGTTTATATAAAAAGGAACTTATGGTATTGTATATAAGGCACAAAATAGAGAAACGAATGATGTGGTTGCATTAAAACGTATAAGGCTAGACAATGAAGAGGAAGGCGTAAGAAGAAGAATTTTACACTTCTTTGATGAAATATTTGATGTATTAGGATGAGCTATGTTTTTATATGTTTTTATAACTATTTATCTAAAATAAATATATAGGTGCCATGTACAGCGATACGTGAAATATCATTATTAAAAGAATTAAAGCATCCTAATATAGTAAGGTAGGTAAATGAAAAAAAATATTTGTTTGATTTGTTCGATTATGTTATTTTTATTATCATTATATTTAATTTTATTCCTTCTATCTCAAACAAAAGGCTTTATGATGTTTTACATACAGAAAAAAAATTAACACTGGTATTTGAATATTTGGATTCCGATTTAAAAAAATTTCTGGATAACTATGCTGGTGATTTAGAAATTGTCACAATCAAGGTATTTTATTTGATTTAGGTTTTTTGTGTGGTGTGTGATTTATTATATAATCAATTGATCAATTAATTTTTATATATAAATTTTGCATTTGATAAAAGCAATTAATGTATCAACTTCTTAAAGGAATCGCATTTTGTCATGAACATCGAGTTTTACATAGGGTGGGTAAATCTATAATATACATATATATTATGATGAGAAAACAGTTTTTTGAGAAATTAATAATAATAAAAAAAGATCATTGATGTATATATATATATATATATTCAAGGGAACTTACACCTTTAAAAAAAAACGGTTATGACTAGAAAACAAAAAATAAATTCTTTTTTCTTGTCCACAAACTTCATATATTTAAATGATTATACATAATTATTTATTTACTTATTTATTTATTTATTTATTTATTTATTTATTTATTTATTTATTTATTTAATAGGATTTGAAACCACAAAATTTACTTATTAATAAGGTCAAAACTTTATATTCTCACAATTTTACTATATATTTAAAAAAAAATCAATAGTTAGCTAATTAATTAATTAGTTATTTATTTATTTAATAGAAAGGTGAATTGAAATTAGCGGATTTTGGTTTAGCACGTGCTTTTGGAATCCCAGTTCGAAGTTATTCTCACGAGGTTTTATTATTGTTTTAAAAACAAAAATTTATTGATTATATCAAAAGAGAGCATAAACTTAATTTTCAATTTATTTATTTTAGGTTGTGACATTATGGTATAGAGCACCAGATGTATTAATGGGTTCCAGACAATATTCAACATCTATCGATGTATGGTCGGCTGGTTGTATATTTGCTGGTATGTAGGAATAATCATTAACTATAAGGTATAACTATGGTTATAACTACGATTAATAAATTAACTTGGGTTTTTTTTTATTTCTTTTTTAAGAAATGGCATCAGGAAGACCTTTATTCCCTGGGAGTTCGATCAAAGATCAATTATTACGAATATTTAAATATCCTTTCCTTTATCATGATATATATATATATATTGTATGTTTTTATATTTATTGTATAATGTGTATATTTCTTTTTAACTACCTTTGAACAATTTTAGGAACTCCAACAGAAGAAACATGGCCGAGAGTTTCACAATTACCAGAGTACAAGGTATATTTATTTTTTAAAAAAAGAAAATCCATTATTATTATATGAATATAAAGAATATGTTATTGAATATATTTTATTTTATTTTTATGTAGAGTGATTTTCCGATTTATCCTCAAATGTCACTAGATTCACATTTACCTAAACTTGACAATTTGGGACTTGATTTATTAAGTGTAAGAAAAAGAAAATGAGGAAATCAAACAAAAAAGTTTTTTTTATCCATAATTCAGATTTATTTATTTTATTTTATTTTATTTTTTCCAGCAATTGATTGAATATGTACCTGAAAACCGTATTAGTGCCGAGGATGCACTACATCATACATATTTTGAGGAAATTCGTAGAAAGGATCTGCTTCAGTCACAATCACAACCATAAATAACTTATAATTATATTAAACTTTTGTTAGGGAAAAGAGAGAAATAAATCTCGTCTTTGGCAGTAAAACAATCATAATCATCATCAACATTATCATAAACATCATCAACATTAGACAATAATAATTAATTTAATATCATATACATACATACATATGTGTAATATTAATGTTCAATGCTTTTTGTTTTCAAAATTTTATTTTATTTATGAATAAATTTATTTGTTTCTTTGATACATTTTTGTTAATTTCTCTTGACATTTTTCAAATTGATCTCTTTCTATATACCTTTTATCATTTTTCCAGAAGATTATCACATATTCATGATCGACTTTGTAATCTTTATATTATTTAATATACCGTATTCTTACAATATTAAACCATCGAGATTTGAAATCATTCTCATAATACCGTATTTTTTGCTTTTCAAGATCTGAAATCTTGTAAAAGAGGCCGCCCATGAACATCATTGTCATTGATGCCAATCGGGATCTATTATCCTATTTTCCCCCGCTTCCTTAGCGGTTATATGAGATCAAGGGACCATTATTGTATAAATTGATTGCATAATAGACAGCATGGACAGCTCTTCATATAGGCCAAATCTCTCTTCTAATATTATTTGATAATCGGTGTCAGTTTTTTTTGTCTCTTTGCTTTATATAAAGAGATCATTAGTATTTATTATTTTTTTTAAAGTAATCTAAGCAATGCGATCTGATGAGCATGTCATTGAATGTGTTCTGCAGTAATCGTGATGATTGAACGCGGAGCTTTCTTTTTGACAATCGTCAGGATGGTTTTCTGCAAGTGATCCTTAGCTCTGCTAACCTAAGTGTTAATTAAAACCTATATAAGTTGACATGTCAACAATAAATCTAAAAATCTAAAATCTAAATGCCAGTGCATGGTGATGATATGACATGTCTCTTTGAATCCTTTTAAAAGGTTTTTATTGTGACATGTAAATGAATTCTCTTGGCAATGTTGCTCACATCAATCAATTCACGTTTGCATTGTATTTTGTTTTTCTTATGATTAACGGTCTCCCATGATTGCGAGAAACTTTTTATCTATTAAATTAATAATATATATTAGTCAAATATTTTTATTATTGCTTTTTTGTTGGAAGACAGTCGTGGTGAAGCATTACTATTATGGTCACCATTCTGAAACCTTTCTCATTGTACAAGATTGTACAAAGGAACTTTGGACCTTGTATTTCAATAAGGCTTCCCTAGCCGATCAAGTAAATCGACCATCAAGACAGCTAATGACTTTGTATGTAAAGATTTCTATTTTGTCGGTACTATTATTACTACTATTTCTTGGATCTTTGTTGCCTTAACCTATTTCAGTGATTCTTTCTCTGATGGCTTGTTATATATATATACCTATTACTATGAAAAATGAACAGTAAAGAGAATGCGCGATTAGACCAGAATTCTATATTATTATAAAGAATCTATAAAAAAATAACATCCACGCATATGGATTCGCCATCGTTGTTATTTTCAATGTCATTATCTTAATGCAAACAGATGAGATTTTATTTTGATTGCTAAAAAAGGTAGAACTATTTCATCCTTGTGCCAAAGATTTAATTACATTTTTTTGTGACTCTAACTAAATTGCCATGAAGACTCCCTGTTACTTGGCCCAAAGCTTTCGCATCACTACCCAATAAGTTGTTCTATGCTTTCAATATTTTTTCCCGTGAATAGTTTAATGTGTTTATATTTCTTATGTTATTAGCGTTCATAAACCAATAAAATCGTCCTCTTAAATTTTGTTCTTTAAGTGAAAATAAAGCAATGATAGGTTTTATCTCACTTGAATGTCGTTTCTGTGACCCTCACGAGAATCATCGCTAACTATCAATTATGACTTTTTATGTGAGCGTAACTCATCCTATAATTAGGTCTTGATTTTATCTTTATGATTCTTAACTTAATAGTCGCAGAAGGAGCATTTGTATCTTTCTTGGCTAGTATTTTTTTTTTCAAGATATCTATTAAACTTTTTGATTATTTCAAGTATTGAATTTTACAATAGGATGCAATGAATATCTTGATAATGGTGATCTTATATGAAGTCAGTTATTATGAATAAGTTCTTGCGAAGTTTATATATAGCCATGAGTTAACCTTAAAAGGCTTCTCTATATTGATGTTTCTATTCTTCCCTGTGGAAATCTTGCAAGTTGTTTCTTTGTTTTGTCTTTTATGTATCTAGAGATTAAGGGAGACTGCTTGTTGCATACATTAACTATCTATCAAACCAACACTTGAGAGGTTTTGAAAAATCGCATATTAATATGACCCAATTTTATTGATGACCAAAAAAAAACAAGAGATGAGATAAATCTGCACTGAACGATTATTGGACAATAATAATAATAATAATAATAATAATCAATCTATATATTCTTATCAATCACATTTGATTGGTTAAAAATTGTCACCAAATATCACGTAAATTTTGATTGGCCTAAAAATCAAACACGCTCAGCTCACTTCAAAAAAAAAATTTTTCATATAACAAGTAATTATTTAATTTATGAATTACCAATTTAAAATTTATTTTCACAATGAACAATAGAGTTATTATTGATAATAATATTATTACCCATTAGTTGATATTGTTGATATTGATATTGATTTTTTTTTTCTTGATAGTCATACAACAATAATTCATCATTTAACTGTAGACTAAACAACCACAAGTCAATCATTGAATATGTAAGTTAACATGTAAAAGAATACTTCATTAAATGTTAAAATAATGTTTCAATTGGTTGGATTTTATTTACTAAAAAATTAAAATAATAAATAAATAAATAGGGAATTGTTATTCGCACCCCACGTGACTAAGTGTAGTAATGTGACCAATGAATGGCTTAGCCAAATAAATCGCTTAGAAAATGGCTTGATCAAATAAATTGCTTAGCAAATAACTTGATGATTTTATTGGTTTATCTTTTGTCTTAGTCACTTGGATGCGATAGAAATATTTATTTATTATCGTTAATTTAATTCATTTGTTCACACATAATAATAAATAAATAAATTCTTTGTTTCGCTTATAAAAACACTTTTGTAGTCGGAAATTAAACAGTAGGATTTAATTGTCCATTTGGTTATCAGAGTGGTAGAGAACTCTGAGGTTTTGTTTATTTGCTTTGGTATAAAATAAAAGTTTTGACGTTGGTTAATCAGTGTAGTGTTAACAATGGGTTGTATAGAAAATTTTCAGTTTCTTTGGTTTCAAGTGACATTTATCCTGTATTAGTATTATGATATTTCCAATAATCAATTCATAATTAATTTCATCACCCATAATTAGTTTCGTCACCTGTAATAGTAATTAATTTCGTAATTCTGCTTTTAAAGAGGGAAAGTGGTAATAAATTACGATAATTGCAAATTACGAATTAGATAATTACCATCCCATGTATATTCACACTTGCAGACCGTTATGTTGAATCACAAATGCCAGATCTAGAAAAAAGCCCTTAAATCCAGTAACTTATGATATATTCTGTTTATACATTCAGACCTTGTTATAACGAATTCCGAACTAGTACAGTTTAGAGAGTATCCGCAGAAATATTGTATTTTGATTGGATATTCCTGAAGTACTTTCTAAATTTGTACTAGTTCGAAATTCGTTGTAACGAGGTTTGACTGTATGTTCACAAACCAATTATTCTAGTCGGAGTTGTTGAAAAGAGCCTATGGAACAAAATGGAAACTCCCACAAGGCCAGAATTATTAAAAGCAAGATTATGCCTTCAAAGGTTCTGGTAAACCTCATAGAAGTAGAAATGGTAAGTTCTATAGCTAATGTCAGTGGGGATCATTATTACAAATATATTAGAAATTCCAAACAAAAAATAGGCATTATTCACTTGCAAAAAATCCAAATTGACAAAAGTCAAGTGATATTCAAAACCAGCTGATCCAATAACATATAGGGAAAATTATACAGAGGAATTATAAAATGGCGAATTATATTGGACCAGTTACATTGCTGAGTTTAAAAGGCGGATTTATAATTCTCCCAAGTATTGCTATATCTCAGTAAAGATAAAACTTTTGAAGCTCTTATAGAATCATATAATAGATTAAATGAGGAGAAAATTTGACATTTCAATGGACATGCAGATGTGTGGTGGTAATGAAAAAATCATTGCTTTATGGTTATTTGAGCAATTCAGGCTTGGCATTTCTTTAGATCCTCAAGAGGCTAAATGGATTTCAAACACAATGAGAGGTGGTTTGATTTGGGCAATAGGACTTTATTAGCATGTTCATTTCTTTTAAACATTTTTTGGTTCAAGAGATTTAATCTTCAATGATATGCCATCTACCTTTATGCAATTAAAAATTAAAATATGATATATCCAAACTCTACATCAGGAAATTTTCTCTGCTGTAATATTATGTCCATAAATTTTAATATTTGATACCTGAGCAATAATTCCAATAACGTTCCTTTGCTTAATAATTAATTAATACTATATTAATATTGTTTGACTGAGAAATAATAATTACTATTTTTACTTATTTTTATTAATATTATTAATATTGCACAAATGTAGATAGTACTAGGGTTGATAAAGTTGACTAACTCACCAAAATACAATGGTAGACTTGGTATTAGTTGACAATATTGACAGTTACTTTTCTTGAGTAAAAGGAATAATAACAAGTTTCAGTTTGAGAAATAATCAAATCATACTCAAAACTATTCACAATAAATAAGTCATTATTATTATTTAATATTGAACCTTTTTTTGTTGCAAATCAATAG